TTACTGGAAGATGGCGGTTCCCCCTCGTGTGTTTTTAAAGCCTCCTGGTCTGAGACTCAAGCTGTGTGGTTGGTCATGTGGGATCCAGTTGCCTTAACCACTATGCCACTGGCTGGCCTAGGTCTAGTTTTATTGAGTCTGTATTTCCTTTTCTTTTTAAATAATGCCTACAGCTCTCAATAACATCAGAAGTTATAGCTGGGGGAAAAAAGAAAGAAAGAAAGAAAGAAAGAAAGAAAGGAAGAAAGAAAGAAAGAAAAAATAAAGAGCATTCTTGTTCTTGCTATTTGGAATGAATTACAAAAGCTGTTAAACTGTTTCTTTTGCAAAGGGGGTGGTGGTTGAAGATGGTAATCTATTTTTTCTTGCTTGGTAAAACAGAAACGGAACCAGTTTTATTACTACATATATATTTTATTGTTTTTTAAATGTCAGCAGTTGTGCCAATCTAGGAATTTGAGACTTAAAGAAGATAGGGTATAAAGAATATTGCTTTCAAACGAATTTTGTTTTCATTTATCCTAGCTGCAATAAGCAAACTGGGCTTGAAGATCTTTAAGGTGGGTGGGAGAAAGACATTAAAAGACAATCGCTTTGGGAACTCTTTTTGCATTGCTTGACTGTAGAAGACTGGCTTTATCCTTCTTCTTTTCTCAAGCTACGGATGCCCACTTGCCCTAAGGTCTCAAACCAAGCATCCCTTCCTCATAGATGCTTTCCTTCCTGCTAAATCAGATGGACTCTTAGGGGCTCCATGGCACCCTATCCTTCCCAGGACTTGTAATTAGGACTTATTTTTCAGCTCTTCTTTCCTGCTCGGTTCTAAGCTCCAAGACAGCAGAATCTTATCTATCTTGCTTATCATCATGTCCCCAGTATCAAAGCCAGGAGCCTGGTATGCACCAGGAGCTGAATAAATATTTGTTTAATAAGTGAAATTTCCGGTGTGATCAACTAGCCTAGAGACAGAATGGCTGTCACAAAGTCAATTAGTAGTGGAGTTGGAAACACAGCTGCTAAAAGCTTTATTTTTCTTTCTTCTTTAACATTTGCATTATTTTTATTCTATACACACACATCATTTCTCTAGCACTGAGTTCAAGATCAGACTTGGCTTTTTGTGCTTGAGGGTGATGAAAATATACTTTGGTGGCTTCCTATATTATGAAAGTAGCAGACATTTGGATCCCCTCCCAAAGTATAACCTAAATACCCCTCAGACAACTTTAACCACTTGAGCGGTGCTTTTATGTCAATAACGTTAGCACCACCTAAGAAATGCATGGAAAGGCATTTTATGGCTTGGCCTGTCTAGGAATCCTGAGACCCCCTAAGTCTCTCTTTCCTGAAGTTCACAATAAATTACTCCCCTCAGCACATCTGTTATTCTGCTACTTCCACTTCCTTGCCTTTTGTGAAAGCAAAATTCTTAGAATTTATCTTACAGGCACAAATCACCTGGTAATTCTTTGCACTTAGTAGCTATTGAGCACAGTAACTACAGAGCTTAACAATTACCATATACTGTAATCATGCAAAGATTTTAATCTTTCAAATTAGATCTCACCTCCACATTCGGGAAGAAAAGGAAATTTACAGGATAATTAACTCGGGGCTAGTTGGCACTTCTCGTTGTCAGGAAGTCCTCTGCAAAAAATAAATGGTCTTAAGATACCATTTATTTTTTGTTGAGTGCCTTCCGTTAAAACTACCCTGTTTGCTTTGAATGGAAAACAAAACAAAAAACACAAGAGAAAATGCTTTTCTCAAGCTGAGGCAGTCCTCAGCCCTTCTGTAATAATACTTGGACAGAGTTGGTCTTCCACATGCGACAAGGGCGCCAAGTCAAATTTTAAAAGTGAGGCCCAGTCATGTGGAGGAGGTGGTAGAGCACTGTGGAGAGATGCTGGAGCTGTGTGGGAAGGTCCTGGGATCGGATCCCAGATCACCATGAAGATGACCATGCTAGGTGTATTCGAGGACTGCCCTATGAAGGCTATTCAAGGGTTTGGGGGATCATGGTGTGGTGAGACCCTGTCAAGGGCACCTGTCTCCATTTCTCTCCCATAAAATAAAGGAATCAACAGAGGAATTTAAGAAAATGAGATACCGGGGACCAGCAGATGGCGTAGAGGTTTTGTTGTTGGACTCCCACATGGCTGACTGCCGTTTCGATTCCTGGACCCGGTGGCTACATACTCATGCTGGGTGCATGTGCGTGCATGCCCAAGATTCCAGGGGGAAAACAGAGAAGGGATTGTGGCATGGCCAACACCCCACCCCTGGGGGATGATTTCTCACTTTCTGTCTCTCCAACAACTACATGGACCCTACAGCAAAAATATCTCTTAAAAAAAAAAAGAAAAAGAAAAAGAGGGGCTGGCAGGGGGCATGGGGGTTAAGGAGCTAGACTTCCACATGGCTGACTATGGTTCGAGTCCCAGACTGGTGGTTTCCTTTCTCACATTTTTGGAGTGGTTTTTGCTATAGGGTGCATGCTCTCGCCAGAAAAACTGAGTGAGACAGAGAGACAGAAAGCAAGAAATCACCCCCCAGGGGGAATGGCAATGCTGCAATCCCTTCTCCTCCATTCTCCTCTTGGGATTTTGGGCATGCACACACACATGCCTGGCGTGAGTTTAAACCACCGGTCCAGGACTCGAACCGTGGTCAAGTACATAGTGACATGGCCATTATTCCAACTGCTTGTCCCTATTATCATTATTATTTTTTAATTTGCTATAAGTCACATGTTCTCACCAGAGAAAGACAGGGAGAGAGAAAGAGGGAAGTGAGAACGCAAGCCACAAAATCTGGGACTCAATCCGTGGTTGGCCATGTGGAGTCCAGGGCTCTAACTCCCATGTATTTGCTCTTTATGAATTAGTTTCACAAAAACTTTGGGGACAGGGTTTCGAGTTGCAGACTGTCCACCTTTATCCCTGTTAGAGCTGGTCCCACCCCACTCCCTGGAGTGGATCATGCACATTTCTTTACCTCTGTGTTCAGTGATGTCACGTCCTTTACTTGAAATTGGCCAGGTGGTACTAATTACACCATGAAAATCTGCCCTTTATTCGCTATGATAAAGAGAATCATCAGGATGAAATTATATTGCCAATCAAAAGGTGTTCTTGGAGCTTGTATGTGACTCGCCCTGAAGCTGGTATTGCAGAGGCACAGGAGCAAGATAGAGCCTGGGTTGTGTTTCCATGGGTCTCCTCAGGGACAAAGCTAACCCACAGAAAACGGTAAGGGAAGTCTGATAGTCTAGTATCTCTACACTTAAGCTAGTAGTGTTTGGCCTGCTGCAGTGGCGCAGCAGTAATGCAGTGCTCTGAGCTGCTGAACACATATGGGAAGGATCCCGGGTTCTGTGCCTGAGGTCTCCCTGAGCATGTGTGTGCCCACAAACTTGACCACCTAGGGCGAGATCACAAGTGTGAGTGCCCAGTGAGAGGTGCCTCTCTCGCCTTCTCTTAAGAAATAAATAAACTAAAAAATATATATCTAGTAGGGTTTAGGGAAGGAAGGGAGTACTATGAACAAATTCTTTTTTTTTTTTAACTTTATTTTTTTTCCATGAGTAAGAGAGACAGAAAGTTAGAACCACCGGTCCAGGACTCGAACCGTGGTCAAGTACATGGGTCAAGTACAGGATCATGACACTGTGATCCACCCTCAGCTTTCAACCAGTCTTGGGTTGTGAAAAAGTATATGTCCAGCATACTTGGGAAGATCTTTGGACTTGAACCAGAAATCTTCCCATGTGTAATACCGTGAAGAGTGTCATGTTTTACTGCTGGCCCACCCTCTGGCACCTGGATAGATTATTCTTAAAGACCATGATAATAGAGCCTTTCTGAACTTCCATGACTGCTAATGCATTTCTTTTTAATATTAGGAGCTCTTTTACCATCATCAGAAAAATTATAGTTCCATAATAAATTCTTTACAATAGTTAGAGACTCATTTATCCTTAGAGGTGCATTCCCAGCTAAGATATTGCCAAGTATTTTAAATCCTTGCTTTATATTCACTAAGTCAAATTCGATACCTTGTCTCTAGTTTTTCATCATGTCCGTAGCAGAGTCAGAGGAAAAAACAAAACAAAATAACATGCAAGTCTCCACATGTGATCATGGCTTCAAATGAAATAACTTGAAGATGATATCAGATTTGAAGATGGGCAGTAGCTCAGAGAAGCTCCAGAATGCCAGAGGAGATGAGAACCACCAAGGAAGGGATGGTCCTGGATGTGAACCGGCTCAGACCTTCAGACAATTGGGAGGTATGTGGACCATACATGGAAAAACTGGAAGACAAGATAAGTCGAGATTAAGGTGTGCACGTGGGCTTTGGTCTCAGCAAGGAGCAATTCTAGGAATGTTGTAGATAGTGCCAGGGAATTAGCTGAGGACTGCTGGCTATGGGAACTCAGTGTCAGTTCAAGGGTCCAGGAACTTTGTTTGGGAGTAAATTACAGAAAAGAAATAAAGGAAACAAAAAGACATTTTTTTTTCCCCTCCAATAAGACATTTAAGTAGAACATTATCAGACAGTTATGATAGGAAGTATTAGTGTAATTGAAAAGTGGCCAAGAAAGCCTAGCCACTGTTACTGCTGCTAAGATGCTGTGTTCCTGAGGCTGGAACCCCTGGGAAGACCAGGTTCAATTCCTGGTCCAAGCTGAAGGCACCTGTGACCTAAGCCACTCAGAAGGCTGGCCGGGACCACATAATGAGACTGTCTGAAAAACAGCTGTGCGTGGTATGTGCACCTGCACTTCCAGCAGGGAGGCTGAGGCAAGGAGAATCATGGCGTGGCAAGATCCTGTTTTAAAACAAGGGGAAAAAGTGGCAGAGAAGATAAATGGGGGAAATGCAAATTTAAGGGCAGTCATCATCATCAGAAATAAAGTATTTAGTATCTGGAATAAATATCGAAGTATGAAAAATGAAAAAAAAAAAGACTGAAATAGCTCTAGAATGAATGGGTGATAAATTTTAGTCAAATACTTAGAGAACATAGGACAGAACAAATTTCTAAGATGTAGAAATGTCATTTGTTGCCTGTCATGCTATTGTACAGACCAGTCATGAGCATTAGTTTGAACAAAAATACCGTTAGGATGGCTTTTGGGTTTACCAGATCCCTGTCCAGAAAAAGACAGAGATTCAAATCTTGAAGTCATTTATTGAATTTTTCATTCATTCTTTTATCAAATACTTATTGAATGCCTACTTTGCGTCAGTCAGTGTGAAGGATCTTGGAGATATGGAAATAAAACATGCACAACCCCTTGAGGACTCTGGGTCAAGCAGACAAAACAGATGGCTCAGAAAATATGTAATTACAAAATAATGTAATGATGTGTTATAATAAAAGAAAGTTCATAGGCAATTGTATTGCCTTTTGCAAAGAGACTCCCATTTCACTTCTGAAATGATATGTTGCTTACCCTGAATGAGAGAATTATCCAGATTTACATTGCTCTGTGGGGACTCGGAGGGCACTGGAAGGCTATGTCAGAATCACTCGTCATTGCGCAGAGAAAGCACAGATGTGACAGAAAGATACGAAGCTTGCCTCTGAAGGACCCTTTTTTTTGTTGGAGAAGCTTTTATTTCTATAGCATTCAACATGGCTCAATAGTGCACACCGGTGCTGTAGAACACCAGTACCTTCCTTATCGAGCAGAACAGTTCTTGCCAGATGGCCTTTCCATTTTGCGCAATGACATATGCCATTGTCAGACACAAAGGCAAAGTACTCAGTTGAAAAGCCAAAGATTCAATCAATAGGCTACCTAGTTAAATTGATATCATATAAGACATTTTATTAATTTTGGAATTGAAAAGACATCTGTTTCCCCAGAGAATGAACTAAATTGGAGGTGTTTGGAGGTGTATTGCACAGAAAACCAAATACACTTCTAGAATCCTGTTCAAGAAAGACAAGGACAATACTAATAAGCATCCTGGATTGTGTTGAAAGGTTAGACCATGTGAAATATACATGGGGCACAGGATTCAATCTGTAGCATGAATTGATGATATAGAAATTCTTTATCATGAGGTTTGTTTCAATTTCTGGTTCATGCTGCTAGCTAACTGGCTTCTTTCTACTTGATGGTATGAAGAATTTGACAATGATAAGGACCAAATCAGGAATGATCTGAGTGTCCTATGGACAGGGGCTGAGTATATTACTTTACAAAGTGACGATGAGAACTGAAGCAAGTTTTCAGATAATTCAATAGGAAAAAATATCCAACTTGTTCATATGAATATTATAAGGAACGTACATAGACATTCTGGGGTCTAGTATTATCCTCTCTACTGCTTTCGTTGTCTGCTTCTCCTGATTGTACATAGGTAAGCTCAGGGTTGAATTGAACTACTGCCCCAGAATTTTCTTTCCAGAAGAATTTGCTTTGCTGTTGTTAAAGAATTCTTTACTGGGGCTGGCAGGTGGCGTGGTGATTAAGGTGCTGGACTTTCATATGGCTGACCATCGTTCGAGTCTCGGACCTGGTGGCTTGCTCTCTCACTTTCTCTCTCTCCTTTTCTCCTCAAATTAAAATAATAACAACAAATAAAATAAATAAATAAATAAATAAATAACAAAAACAATTCTTTATTTACTTAATTTTTATTTGTTATTATCATTCATTTTTTAATTTGACCAGAGAGTAAAAGAGACAAAGGGAAAGCAAGTTGGCAGGTCCAGGACTTGAACCACTGTTGGCCATTTGAGAGTTTAGCTCCTTAACCACTATGCTACCTGCCAGCCCCCAGAAGAACTTTTGATTGTCAGTTGTACCCAACTTGTTGAAAAAGCTCATATGATCAGGTTCTAGAGCACCTCTATCTGAAGCTCATATGAATTGTAAGGTACTGTATTTACTCCACTGATAGCTTAAGGGAGTTGGCTGAGGGAGACTATGGAGAGGAGGATTACTGAGAGTGTAAAACACTCAGTTTGCCCCTTGGTGCTTCCCTTTTATGGTCAATATTGAAGGATCTGAGGTCGGTTCAATTCTCTCTCTCTCTCTTTTTGTTTTTGCTATGGGTCATATATGCTTGCCAGAGAGGCACAGAAAAGGAAAATGATAAGATAAATCACCTCATGGGGGGTGGGGAGATGGCCATGCTGCAAGCCCTTCTCTAGTCTCCTTTTGGAATTTTGGGTATGCATGCGCATGTGCCTAGTGTGATTTTTAAGCTGCCCAGTCTGGGGCTTGAATTGCATAGCCAACCATGTGATATCCAGTGCCTTAACCTCCATGCCACTTGCTGGCTCCTGGTCTGTTTAGCTTGAACACACAGTTTGTCTCAAACTGAATTTACCACCTCTGCCCCATTTTTATTTCCCTGCCAAACTCCTACTGATGTTCTAAGGAAGTTGTGTTTCTTAGAACTCATCTGTTTGGGCACTGTGTTGTAAATATCTAAGTTAGCATCTAAAATTTTTCAGCATGGATTTAAAGAAGTTCATTCTTTGTTAATGGGAGGTAGAAGATATTAGGCCTATTACAATTTAAAATAAACTGAGAACCAACTGTAATTGAAATAAATATTTTATGATAGATTTGATAAAATAGATTTTAAGTACCTTCCTACAGTGTTTGAGTCAGAATGAATTTAAATAGAATTTTTACCTGCAGGTTCTATATTGAAAAAGTCAGTAATTTGGGCAGGCTCCATAACACAGCAGTTAAGTGCTGTGTGGAAGGTGGATCCCACGTGACCACCATGGTTTGAGTTCCAGCCCTGGCAACACCATGCTGGTACACATGCATATGCCTAGGATCCTAATGGAATGGAGAACTGGAGGGCAAAGGACTGCTTTCTCCCTCTCTCATTCATGTGAATGCACACATACTCTTTGGTATAATAACATGAAAAAATTAAAACAAAACAAAAACCTTAAAAAAATGTTAGTGGGCTAGCCCCTTAATGCGGTGGTTAAGACTTGAGTATAGAGACAGATCTAATATGGCCAGCTATGGTTGGAATCTCAGCTCCAGTGCCTTGGGAAACATGCCAGGCACATGTGCATGCATACCTCAAATCCTGGTGGGATAGAGAAATGGAGGAAAGGAATTGCAGAGTAACCATGCCTCACCGGGGGCTGCTTTCTCTCTTCCTTCCCCTTTCTCTCTGGCAAGTGCACATGCCCCCAAGCAGTTAAAAAAAAAAAGTTGATAATTCTAGGAAATATTCCAAGAACATTAAATGACCAATGTTAGTAATCTATACTGCTTTGATTATTCTGAATTCAAAGGTCAAATTTTATCCTCATGGGAAAGAACAAAGATAAAAGGGAAAGACAGGAAGTCCATAGGTTTCGGTGTCCTAAGGAATCATTAGCTCAATCTAGGAAGGTTTGGGATAGGTGAGGGATATTTGGAATTTGTTTTATTTTTCTTGTGTAATTAGGGCTCTCAGGCAGTTTTTGAGAAAAAGCCACACAGAAGTTGTGATCTAGAAACCGATTCTCTTAAAACAATCCATTTAGCATCTATCCTCTGGCAAGTCTTCAGAGATCCCTAGGGTTTAAGTTCCCATTTGAAGACCCCTGTTTCAGCATTCACTTCTGGGTTCTACTGCCATAACCGTCGGAACTAATATCTTGACTAGCTCCCTGGCCCCTCGAGGAGTCAGTTGCTTCAGTACCCTCGAACTTCTATTCCTTTTTAGACAGTCTCACTATGGCATGACCCTTCTGCCTCAGCCCCTCAAGTAGTTGGCACTACAGACACCCATGTCACCTCCTTTGGCTTTCTCAAACCTTTTATTCTACAGAACAAAACCAACTCATCAGCTGGGTGAGGGCGCTCCCAACCACGGGCTCTGCAGACCCATGTTCCCTCTCTTCAGCTCCACTCCCCATGAGCCCTTCGTGGTAGCTTCAGGGGTCTGTGGACTCTTTCTTGAATGCGCATTGCTTTTTCCTGCCACCATGCTTTTGTTCTTTCTTTCCGGGAATATTATTCTGCTGGTATTTGCTGTTTTTACCTCTCAGGGAACAGCCTGACTCACCCTGTGGGAGGGTTTCTCATTTAGAATCTCTCTCCCTCTCCCGTTTCCCACACTGTGCTTTGTACCTCCAGTGTATCTTCCATATCCATGTGTCTTGAATCAGTATTACCTGGACATGTGTTTGTCTTCTCAATTAGGTCCAGGTTCCTAGCAGCAAGGACTATGCCACATTCTCCTGTGTGCCCTCCCAGCACCTAGCACAAGATTGGTTAAGCACAGG